ACCAAACCAAGCGAACCGACAAGTCGATTAGAGATCGAAGATACTGGAGGTCGTCAAAGCGTTGGGTTGAAGCTTCTCTATCAGTAAGAAGGGTCACCAACAGGTTGAGTTAGGGTCCTCAAATGTCCTAGTAAAAACTGGACATGTAGGTATATAGGTTGATGGATTGACCTAAGAGACAAAGTGCACGAGCACAACGAAGATGCAATCTAGCTAAAGGGAACCCCAATTTTGTTAGGCCGCGTATTCTAATCCACGTATCACACGTGGATTAGAATACGCAGCCTAACAAAATTAAACTATTCGGGAACCCAACAGTATGAACGATCTGTTCTGGCACTCGGGCAGCCCGTCCAGGCCGTGTTGGGTAACAAGATAACACCTTTGTATAAAGGGATGAGGTATGTCCATATACACTCTAGAAACTCTAATACACGTACAAGTTATATATAGTTCTTACTATTCATCATCTTCATCATTACTGTTTACAGATTTGATCATTGGAGTCTTCACGTCGCCACAACCTTCGGCGTTGTTTTGCAGGTCTTTGAACCAGTCGATAGCGGATCCAAGATCGTTTGAGCCAGTCGAGGTTGTTTACACTACCACTAATGAAATACCAATTCTAGCTAAAAACAACATTTGTTAATCGAAATAAGCTCTTCACCTAAACCTAATTTGTAGACAACTCACAATAAACTCTCCATATTTAGTACACTAGCAAAATTAATTCTTAGGAAAAATAGATTGCTCTAAGTAATGAACGCCAGAGCTTGGACAATTTAACTCGTGTTCACGCCACTCTAGAGATGCACTACCCCTAGTTTAGTACTAACGAAATGAGAACAATAACAATTACAGAGTCTTGTCTCTAGCAAATAAACTATGATATTCAACGTAGTCGATCGAACTAAACCAAACACATCCACAATTTATTAACGCAAATAGCATGAATAAACTTATTAACAAAAATACATATGGCGTCTAAATCAAACACTTTTTGCGTGTGTAGTCTCTTTCTCTCCGGCTCCCTCTGTTTTTCACTTTTTCTCCTCTGTTTTTGAATGTGATTGTAGCTTTTCCAACAAAATAATTCCCCTTTGCGTGTCCTCTAACCTCAGTCCAACCAAAATAGTGTGTCATCCTCAACAAAATAATACTCTCCTTACTCGAGTGTTCTCCTAATAGGACTCTCTCTGCAAATATCAATCTCTCCACTTAATTAGTTGTCCCATAAAAAATGCATGACCCTCTTCCTCTCACCCCACCAATAATTCCTTAATATGCTCGTCTCTATTAGTATTGTAATCTAAGAAATATTTGTGAGTTGTCCCACATGGTTTATATAAAAAAAATAGACGTAATTTAAATGTGTAATGGGCTACTCCTTCCATATTTTGGGATAAAACTTCACTTGGGTTTCATCTGGTTTTCCTTTTTATTGTGCGATTCACATGATTTTGGGATAAAACTTCATCTGGGCTTCACATGCGTGAGACCACACCCGTTTTTTCTTTTTCATTTTTAGTCTCCAACTAAACAACTTCCTTAATTGACTTGGTATTGCACTAGGCGATAATGGATTGTTCGAAGTGTTGTTCAATATTTTTCCATCCACAAAATACTCCAATATGCTAATCATAAAGTATACAATAGTCGAAGCACATAAATTTCAACCGAATAATATATAAGTCAAAAAATACAACGTGCAATTAAACTTATCATATAAAAATACTCTAGTAGTAGTAGCAGTAGTTTTATATGATAAGTTTACTACTATTAGTAACTACTGCTACTGCTACTTAATCTAAATATTTGATAACATTACAAAATAAACTATTTAGAAAAATATTTTCTTAAAATCAAATTATATAAAATATTATTTTTTAATAAAATTTATATTTTTGAAAAAGTTAAAGAATATATAAAATTAATACCTATAGAATATGAAACACCAAAAGTTGACACTCTCAATGAAACATAAGAAAATTTCATATTTAGGTATGTTTGATAAAATTAGCTGAAAATTTAGTTGATAATTGATAACTTATAAGTGAATTTCAAGTTTATCTTATGATAAATAGATACATAACTAACTGATATAATAAAAATATGTGATAAAATATACTGATAAGTCATCAAAATAAAAAATTCGATAGATTTTGATTTTAAAAAATAATTTACTAAGAGAAGCGTTGAGATAAATTCCTTAAAAAGAAAAAAACACATTGTACGAAACTAAACTTGTTTGAATACAAGAAGTTTAAAAACTAACTAAATAAATTGTAAATTAAATTATATGTGTTTACCAAACACACTTAGCATAAACTCCAAAAATCCCTCCTTATATAGAGATGAGTTTCGATAAGAAAGGTTTCTCAGTAAAAGTAATAAGAAGTCGTAGTCATGAGATTTTATAATCCATTGAAAAGAAAAGAAAAAATCAAAATTATATACTAATTAATAAGGGTAACATTGACAATCTCTCCATTAACTACCCGTTTAGGGATGGCAGCGGTTCGGTTTCGGTTCGGATATCCGCGGTTTTTGGTTCTGCGGTTTTCGGTTTTGGTTCTCAAATTTCACCCACGGTTTTGCGGTTTCGGGTACCCGAAAGTCTTCGGTTTTGGTGCGGATCCTATATTTCGCCCGTGGTGCTCCGTTGGGTGCCCAAAATAGACGGCCCATCAAAAAGCCCACCAAAAACCCTAGCTATATAAGTGGAAATTTCCTCTTCCTCTTATCCTCTCCCCGTCTCCCGTGATGGCTTGGCTTAGCTATGTACTCTACTACCTTTATGGCTTGTACTGTACGTTGGTACTTGCTAATTTGTGACTGGTTGCCTGGTACTCTCTAAGTTATCATGTTTTATGTTGTTGTCTTTGGTGTTTTATTATAATATTTTTGGTTTTTTGGGTATCCGTTTGGTTTTTGGGTATCCGCGTGTTTTGGTTTTGGTGAAGGATTTTCACCCGAAACAGTTTTGGTTTTGGTTTTGGTTTTTAAGTTTGGGTTTTGGTTTTGGGTGCCCTGAGGTTCCATCCGATCCGAACCCGAACCGCTGCCATCCTTATACCCGTTGTTCCCAAGATAACAACACACCACCACCCCACCTCCACTCTCTCTCCTCTCCACATTCCCCGCAACACAACTTACACACATTAAACAAACTCACAAACACACACACACACAGACACACACTCATAAGTCGAGATTCACGGCAGCAAGGCAGAAGAACATCCGGCAGGCATAGCAGGTTAGAAGGAACGGCGTCCGATCGGGAAGGGGAAGAATGGGTCTGCTGGGAGGGGCGGCGGTGACGGGAAAAGGTATTGCAGCTTCGGAGGATGACGTCCTCGACGAGGGTGGCGTCGAAGAGCGCTGTGAGATGACTGGAGAATTGAAATTCGAAACTGGGGGCTTTCTTATAAAATTTGACAAGTTCGAAGGACTTAATTGTAATTTTACAAATTATAATATATTACAATTTAGTTCGTTAGTCAAATTCGTAATTTATCATAAATTTAATAAAGTATTGTGTGTGAATATGCACATTAAAAATATACACACAGCATAATGCACAACAGTGTTAGACTATATGCACATTAGTGCCTCTGAGAATGCAGCGTAACAGTGAATTCTGTGCAATGACAAAAATATTTCCACGTGAAAGATCAAAAGTATACATAATTACAACAATTTCACCGCCCCTTTGACCAAAATTGGAGCAGAGCGTTAATATATTACATCCAACAGTTACGTTCATTCTTGTTCTTTCACTATCACCCATTCTCATTTGATTCTACTTCTTTATATTATCTATTACTACCAAATAAAAAATAATAGAAGCATGCATCAATTTAAAAGTATCCATAAAATCATTGTATATATGAATTAAAAAATTTATTATAATAAACGATTAAATCATACAAGTGACGAATGTAATTTTAAATATAAACAATAGACAAAATTGCGCTTAATATCATAACTTTTATCGATATTGCATATTAATCACAACCCTTTTCACCTTTTCACACTATATCACACTCTTCATTTTTTTGCAAAACTATACACGATTTTGACCACCAGCTCTAGAAAAGCTGACGTGTCACTCAAAATACCACCACAAAATGTTGAGTCGTATGTATCAGTCGATTGTTTTTCCACCTCAGACTAAGACGAGATCATTTCGCGACGTCGTTCCGTTTCAAACAAAAACTGAGCAAAAATAAATAAATGAAAACAAAAAGTCCACTCTCCCACCACCGGACCACCGCCCTCCGCCGCGATGGAAATTCTGACGAAACGACATCGTCTTAGTATGAGGTGGAAAAAAAAGCAGCTAATAAATACAACTCAGCAGGTGTGGTAGCATTTTAAGAGCCACTACAGCTTTTCTAGGGTCGGTGGTCAAAACCGTGTATCGTTTTGCAAAAAATTAAGAGCGTGATATAGTATGCAAAAGTGAAAAGGTTGTGATTAATTTACAATCTCGATAAAGGTCATGACATTAGACGCAACTTTGACTAAATAATAATGCATTTTTTTTAAAAAAATATTTAAAATTTAATTAATTTTCTATTATTTTTTAAAATTAAAATTTAAAATTTTTAATTACTAACACACGTATAATATATGAGTATTTTACTAAGCATTTACATATATACGGAGCCACGAGGATACATGGATAATATGACTTTGTCAATTTGTCAAACTCACGCAATTGTCAACTATATATATATATATGATTAAATCAACCCTCAACCTTCTATACTTGCTTTGAATAATTTCCACTTATTTGTGAATTATTATTTTCTATTTCGTCCTATCATATATACCTTGACTTCCCGTGAGCTTTGAATACGTTTGTGTATTTATACCACACGCCCAAGTCATCACTATGCACCCATAGCTAATTGTAAGTCCAAAAAAAAAAAAAAA